CGGCTGTCCGAAGCTGGGGGCGCGTTCTGGTGGATGTTTCTCCACACTGAAGACCCCCTCCCCAAACTGCCTCCTTGTTCGACACCCTACCCAATTTTTCCCAATTTTCTATTTCTTTTGTGAGTTTTTCTTTCAACACTTCCTCCTTTTTTCCCGAGAAAAACCTCCGCTTATAATGAGGCGTGTAGGAGAAAGGAAGCGAGGGGAGAAGCGGAAGAGGGAAGGTTTATAGCACACTTGAATCAAGAAAAAAGGAAAGTTGGAAAACATTTTCTCGAAGTAGTACACCCCGCCTCCCCCTCCAGCGCCAAGTATGATTCCTCTCCCCCCTCGCTGGGCATCCCCACAGTAAGACGTGCCCTGCCTGAGCAATGTGGTAAGTCGAGGGATCACCTCAGTGTCAGGGGGAACCCAGTGTTTCCCTCTAAACAATCAACTGGTCAGAAAACAGAACTGGAAATACAATTACTTCTTGGCGCTGCTCCTCCCTTGCCCTTTCCCTTCACAAAATTCGTTGAAAAGGAGATTGCTATTGATTATGACTGCAGGTTTATTAGTGGCTAACATACCAGCATTATTCGCAAATCCACGTTAAAATTGATTACGGTAGTACGAATTGTCCTCAGTTTATTTGACTTATGTTAGCAGCGTTTCAGTTACAAGCTAGCGGAGAACTTTTTCCAGTAGTATTTCCAATTGGAATCCCACTTCATCTGACCACTCCCCTAAGAACAGGGCCGTTTTTCTCTGAACGCAAGTACACATTCCATTCCGGGAGGCTAATTGAAAGCGATCAGATGAAGGTCGTCAAAAAATAGATAGAAATGGACAATTTGGTACACGTATCACAAACGTACATTTGTCGACGACACAGTTGTTGCCGAACCGGCAGGCGTAACGATATTTGCCAGTCAGTGTACGACGGAAGAATCCTTTACATCCATAGCATGCCAGAACCTAAAAATCAGTCAATGAGTTGTCATCCCCTTCAAGTTCAGACTGGAGGACTTCTTTACAGAGAAGTACTGGTGACCTTCTGGGCCTTTAAACCCCTCGAAATAAGTGGAAACTACAAATGAAGAGCTATGTATAGCATCACAGCATCGTCCTACTGTAAAGATTAGATGTAGCAAAAATGCTACTCCCTCTATAATATGGTAAAGTTTATTCAATTATTCAAATCAAGTGGTGCTGTTCCTCCGTACCCAAGATATCGAGGATGATCAAATTCGGAAGATCGCGCGGGAAAGAACCCTATATAAGGGCGAGTCTGAGCAGAGACGGAGCTGTTCTTGTTGAGATCCTTCTTACGCAATATCCAGTACTGCAGCAATAAGCAATATTCACTACTACTGCGATACCAAGCTTAAAGAAGATATTCTAGTCATCATCCCACTAACTGTTGAAGTTGGAAGTAGTAAACTGACATCGTTCGTCCTCAGAGAGCATTTTAATCAATATCAATCAATATCATCAATATCCAGTGCAATTTGATCAAGCGATATCCGCGTGGCCACTGGAAACAAAACAGTGAAGGGCGAGCTTCCCACATTAGATGGGAGGGGAGGGACAACATGCTGCTCACCGATGGTCTAAGTTTTTGGAATCGATTACATCAATATCCTGCCTATGGGTGATTTGTCAAGACTCCACCCCTTTGTAACTTGACTCGAATGGAACGGCAGATAAAGCTCACCTTATGCTTCTTTTTACTGTAGGCTAGCGCTATCAAAATGAAGCTGCAGAGAACGGGTTCAAAGTCGAGTGTGGTGGTTTGTAGTTGGACGACAAAGAACGGTCAGCTTGGTCAAAAAAGTTTGGGGAGACGGAACCGCAAGCATTGTTCGAAGAAAACTCGACCCGAGCGCAAAAAAAGGGCTCGGAATGAAGGTGACTAATGATTGACCGTATCCTTGTCTAGACGTTTGCTTGTAATGAAAATTTCTGATGCACAAGAATGGGCCTTGCACAAGCCGTATGGGAAGCAAAGTGAATGAAAAAAGTGAGGCTCCGCCAAGTGTGCAGCACGAAAAGTCACAACGAGTTAGGCAAAGGAAGTCCAGGGCCGACGGCAGGGCACGTTCTGCGTTGGGAAAAATTTTGCGGAATACGAACCCTTCTCAGAACTTCTTCCTCTTCCATTTCCTTGATCATCTCTCTTCCCCATTCCATACCTACCAGCCCTACCTACCAAACTATCATCTCCATGAACTCGTTAATTTAATTGGCCCAATTTTCTACCGCATAGCTTTCCAGAGCTTCCCCCACCTCTCCAGAATGTCGTCGTCAAAAGTGTTGTAAAGCGCGTAAGGGGGACGGGGATACCGCGAAAAACCATGAAAACAATGATCAAAAATCATTTTTTATAGATGCAAATACGCCCCATCCTCCCTCGATCGAACGTATACGACCACCTGGCTAGGGATCCCAGAAGTACAACGTGCCCTAGTCCCATGCCAGGCGGAAGTGAATGACGCCCACCTCGTGCGCCAGCGCCTTACCTACCGTCAGAGGCTGCTGCTACGGCGGAGCCCACTTGCTATACGTTTTCACGCCCCACTAACGGGGATATCTTTGTCCTCGAGGGATAAAACATCCCTGAAACAATTTTCCAACAAATCCAATGCTTTGTGTTGCTTTAACACGCTGTTTTGTTTTCAGGACGTTTTACTTACGGCAATGAGGCTAGGCCTGCCCTACACACAAAGTTCCACTGAAAATAGCGCAAGAAGAAAAATTCCGATAAGTTTGGTCTCAATTTCAACGAGTGGGGGGAGCAAAGTTAAACAAATGCCGAAGTGGCTGGGGAACTAATTTAGTTCCTTGCAGAAATACAAAAAAAAATTCGTCTCCGCTCGAGTTGAGCTGCGAAATGGGAATGCAAAATGCAACAGTAGAAAGGGAAAAATGTAGAACTTGTTGGAAGTTTTCACACTACAACATGGCGATTATTCAAATGTATTCTCGTTTTTCCAAACAACCTTCACGCGAACTAGTTGGTCTCTGGGTATGGAGATTTGGTTAGTATGTAACGCACCTAGAACTGACTGCATTGATAGTCACCCGCCTTTCTGTTGTATGAGGCTGAGCTTCGCCTCTGGGCCTTTTTTTGTGTGGTTTCCTCTACGTGGGAGACCAAACCGATTGATGAGAAAAGTGAAGGCGATCAGAAAAAAAGAAAAATGCGAAAAAAACGAAAAAGCTGTAGGTGTATTCAAGAAGTTGTTACGCGCATGGCGCGACCATACAAATACATTTAGCATCTTTTCTATGAGTCGGGGAGATTTCAGGAGGTATGAAACATCCACCCATGGTGTTTTAGCCCCATCCTCTTAAATCTTTCTGAATCGATCGTTCAAGGCAAAGCCTACGATCGCTCATAATTAGCTAAACTCTTCGTCTGGACCTGCAACGATCAACCCTGTATAAGTTGCTTGTCAAAGAGGTAAGGTAGCGGCGGTAAGGAGCAAGTAGCTCCGCCCAATTTGATAGATGTCTCATTTACGTCCTCCTTCGTTTGCATGCTCTCTAGCTGTTTTCTCTGGCCTCTTCCCTGATATTCACACTGAATGTTGCCCTTTTGCGTGGCACAAGTAGGGCCTTATTCGAAGCCTTCTCGACGGTTTCCTTTCATTTTTTCTTCACGAGCAAGTATACCGTTGACTTATAGCACTGCTTCTCGACTTCTCTACCTACGAACTTTTCGCTAGCTCATCGCGAAGTCTGCCCTTAACGAGTCACTATTGGAGGAAAAGGCAGCCCGAGCTGGGTCATCCCACCCCTCCAGACTACGACTCGCCCTGATTGCGGCGTATCAGTTGTAAATGGCATGAGTTACCTTCCACTGGTAATTGAAGGTGCAAAGGAAACTATACACAACTGATTTGGTGATTTGAAAACAATTTGCGTTCCTGAGTTTCCTTCAGTACGAATGGAAAGTATTTCAGCAGATTCTGCTCATCTTATCAAATCAGTAGGAGCATTCCGCGCTCATTCGGGCGGAGACAACCTTACAAGTGTCTTTTCTTGTTGATGGATTATTTCTTTTGATATGGCAAAGACGAAATTATCAATGAATGCAAAACCCTGCCCAACTCCACTTATGACATGTGAGTTTAACGCAATGAAAAAAAAGTTCTCACCCCATAGTGAAGTTTTGCATGTCCGTCACCACATACGGCACAGATGGCTTCACCAGCAGATGCGTTTTTGTCTTTGATCTGGTAGGAAATGGTCGGCGAAGCTGACGATGGCACAGACGCCAACATCATCGGCATTCTGCAAAGAAATTCATCAAGTTGATGGCATGAAAGATACTCCAGCAATCCAATAGACGATATGTGGCCTCTATCGG